TTTTATAATGTATTTATTCACATTGTCATAGATCTGTTTTATCACTGCTTCTCTGCTATCACTATTAATAATAATAATAATAATAAAAGGTTTGTAATAAATAGTGTTCCATTAAAATTCATTGGTTAGAATGAATTTCAGCAAACCTCATTTATGAGATATCAACTCACTGATGACAATAGTGGACGATGGCACGACTTCGTGGATTGGTTGAAGTTAGACAATTACACCGCTGGATGCTGCCCGGCTCAGTGATCTAGTGGTTAGGCGCTCGCGCACGAGACTGATAGGTCCTGGGTTCGGATCTTACGGGGCGGGATGGTGGCTGCGCACTGCTGAGAAGTCCCACAATAAGACGAAACGGCCGTCCAGAGCTTCCAGGTTTTTCAATCGACTCGTGATTTCAACAATTAAAAAGACCTCACTAATTTTAACAAAAAAAATCCAATTTGACATTAATATCTCATAGGTTTGGCAGTAGGTTGGCTGTTATATAATCTACAAGCTATCAGCTTATATCTTGTTGCCAGTGCTACTTTGATTTGATTTAAAATAGCTAAAGACAATCAACATGGTGATGAAAACTTGGGTTTCATGATAGTTGCTACTGCAACAGATGCCCATATGTAATTCGAAAAAGTATCACGAAATGTCTCAGTCAAAGATAATATTACTAGGATTTATGAACGACAACTAACCTAATTTAGGATTGAGACTAGTAGTAACCATTCTCAAATCCTCTATCTCTTAATGTTAATTGATTTCAACAAGTTGCATGGCAATATGGCAACTATTCTCAGTAAATTAACATTGACATGAAATTCATTTGGCTTTGGGTGGTTAGTTTCGATAAGCAATGAACGTTGAACTTGGAATTCGATAGAAAAACTAAAAACCTAACAATATGATACTGGTTATGGCTAAGTGACCACCTAACATTTAAATAACTTAACCCGGTATTATGCTTTCTCCCAATTTATTTCCAAAGACTAAACACTAAATAAATGATAATACAGTTTCGAAGTATTGATAATAGAATTGAATTCATATTTAGACTGGTGGAATTTGTTCAGTGCTGAAAACCAAGAAGACCTAACATTGGTTGTAACATGATGATGTACAGATACAGATGTATTTTTCTAACTTTGCTCGTCATATCTGTTAAAATGTGTGCAATGGTTATTATTATTATTATTATTATTATTATTATTGTTATTATTATTATTATTATCATTAGTGGCTTTATCCAATAATACAATATAAAATCCTCAGCATAAAGTATTTCAACAAGTTTCCGTTTCTTACTTCTTGATCGATCATGACGGTAAATATTGAATGGTCGTCAGTTAGATGTTGGCAGTTCAGGAATCAACATCTGAATAATGTACATTCTTTTTGATGCATATTGTTAGCAACCATGATGTCTCAGATTGGGCTCTTTCCTAACTTGTAAAGTGAAATGTCGTATACTTTTCACAAACGCTCCTGAATAAGTTATGAGACTAATGGGCATAATGATGTGTTATAGCAAACAAAAGAATAGATAGCTTGTTGAAATATCTAGATGGTAGAGACAGGTAACCCAAATATTCGTGCAGACCGCAAGTTCTACCACAGATTTAATGAATGTTATTGTATATTGTATTCAAAATTTTCAATCATCAAGACTGATTAATTAGTGAATGAAGGATTATTTTTTATCTAGTTCTATTTTGGATTTGGTCAGTTCTAACTTGTGAAATTTATCAAATTCTTGATCTAAATTACAATAAATTTGATTTAAAGTGAATGATTAAATGTCTATGATTGAAATATTTTGAATGTAAATATCATTCCCCCCCCACACACACACACATACACTCAACATACTTCTTCGTGATCATATCAAGAAATAAGTGGTTCTTATCAGAAATGAGGTTTTGTGGAGATTATAGTAATTTAATAGTTGAATTCATGAGTTCAGTGCACCGAAACCAATCCACAGATTAAACATTAAACCTTTAGATCTAGTAACGAATATACTATCTTCAAACCACTAATTTAAGACTTTTAAGTTCACATAGCTAACTTCATTCAATTCGTGGTATTAAACGATAAATATCTAATACTTCGTAATATATTGCATGTTTATAGTTTAGTTGTTCATTGGCTTATAGAAATCATAATGATATCCTGTATATATTTGAAATAAATAACGTGAGTCCTTTCCTCGACATACTTTTAAGTAGATGAGAAGATGGCTCAAACAAACGATCCATTTTTAGAAAACCAACGTAGACAGGTCAATACCTTACTTATTATAGTTATTGCCCTGTGCAATACAACCGGGGTTTGATAAGATGCATATTCAACAGGCTTGTACAAATGACGCTATTGATGGTGATTTTACGTTGTTAAAAGAAAATAATAATGGAAAATAGTTATCCCCTTAAGTTCATAAATAGATAGATAGTTCATGGTACAGTGAGACTTACTATAGCTTTGGCAGAAAAAAAGCTTGTCTACATCACCTTACCATTTAGAGGTGATTCAAATAGCCTTTTATTGAAACAAAGACTTAAATCAATCATTAACAAGATATATTGTGCAGCAAAGGTCATTATCAAAGTAACAACAAAGTTCATGTTTCATCGAAAACCTAAAAGACAAGAAAACGATCGCATCATATCTCATTGTGTTTACCAATTTAAATAGGAGGAGTAATCGTGATCGCAAAATCAGATTGTGTGAACATGTACCTAAATGGTTGCAGGAACAAATAGAATCAAATAACCCAATAAGAGCAGGGGATAAACATCCATCATCCTCTATTGCCAAACGCATAACATAACACAAAAGACTGATCTTAACTCGGCTTTTGTGGTGTTGTATAAAAGTGTAAAAGGGTGTATGCTAAAGTTCAATGAAGCCTTAGCCATGCGAAAATTCAAACCCCTTTTGTGTATTCAAAAAGAAAACAGTTTGTTCTCACCCATAAACCCACCCTGATATTACTAGCCCATTATTATCCAGTGATGAGGTCGAACATTATTATGTTCTTTATTATTCATGTCTCCTCTTACTATCCATTTCTCTTCTAGTTGACTTAAGTAGTATGTTATGTGTGATCAGATTGTATGTCATTGTTAATCACAATCTCTTACAAAAACTACAATGAGAATATTTCTAATCTCTTCATCATCTCAAAGAGCAGTTGGACTTTTTTTCTGTATTCTCATGATTTCTTTATCATTGACAGGTGTGTTATGCTAATTATTCTATAAACTTTTTGGTCTGTATTCAGTATACTTTAGTGGCCCCTTATCTGACTCCAATTGGATCGTATGAATGTTATTGAATGATTACTGTTAAACTATACATATCTATGCAAAGATGAATTGTGGCCAATAGTGGAATCCAGGACGCGCGTTTTGACCTATTTGGGACTAGTCAACTGGATGTGTCTGCATTACAGAGCTGACGTTCACTCTGGGACTCGAACCCAGTACCGTTCGCTTCAAACGCCATCACTTTATCCACTTAGCTACTGAGTTTTGATAAGCAGTCCGCACAGGATGCACATATGCCAACATCAGAATGATCAATTACATTCCTAAATAACAATGGGAAGATACAAGTAAAACAACATCAAATGAATTTATACACACCTATCTTAGTAAATAATTTTCGACTTAATCCGTGTTAGTGAATATAACGGAATTATATAAGCTGAATACGAGAATGGATTTTAAATATGTATTTTTCACGCACTCAATGATTTGAACAGATATTCAGGGAGACGAAATAAAGAGGGAATAACGAAGCAGATTGAAGAATGCATGTGAGACAACTCGATTTACGGATAAGTAATGTATACACAGATACGCTAGTTAATAAGTGAATAATTAACAAGGTCGAAATGTAGCTTAAGAGGGATGAATAAATTGATCCGTCCAGAAGTTAGAATAAGTTAAATGGGTTTAACATAGTCACTGACACTACAGTACGAAGATGAATATGATTGTTTCATTTGAGTTTATATTACAAACCTAAACTGTATATTATACAAACTCAGAAATTCAGAATGTTGTTTGAAAATTGTTAAACAACAGATCAAGGGTCAGAAGATTAAATCTAATCAAAATATCATTTCAACGATTTAATAAACATCATTTATCACTATTGAATTGATTAAACTGTAATGCGGCGTCGAGTCGCGGTTGACTATGATCATCACTACAGGAAGACTACGTGCCAGTTAACCGATGAGATCCCCCGTAAGCCAAATATCAGAAGGCCGTTGATGGTTGCAGTCGAGATGTATTTGTTGGCGATCTCGTGGTGTCGAAAGAATACAGAGATCGTGTCAAAGGAGTACATGTGTGGTCACTGAGCGTAACCGAATTCATGCAAGGTCACAATCAACGGAAGAATATATGTGTTTTGGTACAGTTAAACAAACAAGTACGGTAATACAATCACTGGTACAATCGGCTATAATAATAATAATTGTTTCCATAACACCAATCGCGTTCTCTTAATAAAAGTAGGTTACTACAAAACTATTATTCAAAATGAATCATAATTAAGCAAATAAATATCAATATACTAATATGAACAGTTCTCGACATATAGATTATCAAGGATGATCTCAAATTTTGATCCGATCTAAATAGTTAGATAGTTTAATCATTCACCTTTAAAATCATTATTGAATTCAATACAAAATAAAGAATTTTATAAAACTTTAACAGGATATTGAATAGTTTTAATTATGTCAAAAAAATTAAACATCTAGCACCTTTTCCATATCGATAATAATAATAATAATCAACCATTTATACAGTGTCTATATCATATAAACAAATTAACTTAATTCTTATATAGAATAGACCATAGTAACATGTTGGTTACCTGTTCACAACACCTATCTATACACAAGTATAATATGAATGAAATAGATTTATGAAAAACCAAACAAACATCATTCATTAATATGACTGTTATATTTGTCATTACATTCATATGATGTCGTTTGATGATGATGATGATGATGATGATGATGATGATGATGATGATGATGATGATGATGATGATGATGATGATGATGATGATGATGATGATGATGATGATGATGATGATGATGATGATGATGATGATGATGATGATGATGATGATGATGATGATGATGATGATGATGATGATGATGATGATGATGATGATGATGATGATGATGATGATGATGATGATGATGATGATGATGATGATGATGATGATGATGATGATGATGATGATGATGATGATGATGATGATGATGATGATGATGATGATGATGATGATGATGATGATGATGATGATGATGATGATGATGATGATGATGATGATGATGATGATGATGATGATGATGATGATGATGATGATGATGATGATGATGATGATGATGATGATGATGATGATGATGATGATGATGATGATGATGATGATGATGATGATGATGATGATGATGATGATGATGATGATGATGATGATGATGATGATGATGATGATGATGATGATGATGATGATGATGATGATGATGATGATGATGATGATGATGATGATGATGATGATGATGATGATGATGATGATGATGATGATGATGATGATGATGATGATGATGATGATGATGATGATGATGATGATGATGATGATGATGATGATGATGATGATGATGATGATGATGATGATGATGATGATGATGATGATGATGATGATGATGATGATGATGATGATGATGATGATGATGATGATGATGATGATGATGATGATGATGATGATGATGATGATGATGATGATGATGATGATGATGATGATGATGATGATGATGATGATGATGATGATGATGATGATGATGATGATGATGATGATGATGATGATGATGATGATGATGATGATGATGATGATGATGATGATGATGATGATGATGATGATGATGATGATGATGATGATGATGATGATGATGATGATGATGATGATGATGATGATGATGATGATGATGATGATGATGATGATGATGATGATGATGATGATGATGATGATGATGATGATGATGATGATGATGATGATGATGATGATGATGATGATGATGATGATGATGATGATGATGATGATGATGATGATGATGATGATGATGATGATGATGATGATGATGATGATGATGATGATGATGATGATGATGATGATGATGATGATGATGATGATGATGATGATGATGATGATGATGATGATGATGATGATGATGATGATGATGATGATGATGATGATGATGATGATGATGATGATGATGATGATGATGATGATGATGATGATGATGATGATGATGATGATGATGATGATGATGATGATGATGATGATGATGATGATGATGATGATGATGATGATGATGATGATGATGATGATGATGATGATGATGATGATGATGATGATGATGATGATGATGATGATGATGATGATGATGATGATGATGATGATGATGATGATGATGATGATGATGATGATGGTACAATAACTGTAATCATGTGTATAATGTTACCCTTCAGTTCCCTTTAGTATAGATTTGATAATCGTGTCTGACAAGGATCCACTTAACCAAATTGAATAGAAAGTAAGCTGTTATAGTGAATTATTATTATTATTAACTCTTGATGATGATAGTCAGTCATATAACCAAGTATAATGTTGATCTGTATTAATAATATCTAGATGATCTGGATTATCTCGATATCCCATAGATTTGAATAATTGACTGATTGATTGATTGATTGATTGATTGATTAATTGATTGATTGATTATTAGAAATAAATTGAAAATTGTAAAGATTTTGTTTGATATTTTGATTGTCATATTTCTCAATAGTATGAATAAATACATGATACTAATTTGAAGAAAACTATACATATATAATCCAATGAATAACTGTTCTTTAAACGACAGGGGTGAAAATTCACCTAAGTATTGTCCTTCTTAGTTTTTGAAGAAAAAGATTTATCTTGGTTCTAGTTCGTTGACGAATAGATTGAGTTGGACCAAATGAATTCAAGAGATTTGTTAAGTTTGAAAAGAGTTTTCATAGTAGATTGACCATTACATAAAAAATTATTTCAAAGTAGCATGAATATACATAACAGAATTAAAGAAAATAGAGTTATAAACATAGGGCGGCCTGTTTGAGCATCTGGGCTACCTGTTCCTGCCATCTAGATATTTCAACAAGTTATCTATTTTTGTTTGTTTTAATATATCATTATGTCTATATATTGCATAACCTATTCAGGTGCGTTTCTGAAAAGTGTACAACCTTTCGTTGTCAAAGTTACAAAAAGCCCAATAAGAGATAATGTGGTCGCTGGCAATATCCAGAGAAAAGAATATACATTATTGAGATGTTCATTTACTGAACTGCTAACATCTAATTGGCGATCACTCAATATTTATCGCCAGGACCGACCAAGAAGAAAGAAACGGAAACTTGTTGAAATACTTTACGCTGAGAATTCTATATTGTACCAAAAATATAATACTGAATAAAGCTGATGATAATAATAATAAATAGTTAATGAATTTCTTTTATTAAATTATATGGATAACTTGTTGGTTTTATCTGAGAAAAGCATTTATCACAAACATCTTAACTAAAACCACTTATTTACTTACACTTGTTACTCTTCGTCGAGGAGCGTGGGCTGCCCACCAGCACTCTCCATCCAACACTGTCCTGGGTTAGCCTTTCCATCTCTTTCCAGTTGTTATTCATCCTCTTCATATCTGATTTCAATGCCCGACGCAGTTTTCCCTTCGGCCTTCCTCTTTTCCGCTTCCCTTCAGGATTGCAAGTTATGGCTTGCCTTGTGACGCAATTTAATTGTTTCCCTAATGTATATCTTATCCACTTCCAGTGTGTTTTCCTAATTTGTTCTTCATTTGGAAGCTGGTTCGTTGTCTCCCACAGTACGGTGTTGCTGATGGTATCCAGTCAATGGATGTTGAGTATCTTGCGTAGACACCTATTTCTAAATACTTGTACCTTCTTGATAATGGTTGTGGTAGTTCTCCAAGTTTTACCTCCGTACAGTAGTCTAGTGAGGCTCTTTATTTTGTCATCATTTAGATCGGACGATGTTGACGACGGGCTCTCCAATTCAGTGGCTCAGGATCTGACTCCAAGTAGATCGTATGAACGATTGCTATTGAATAACTGCTGTCGAAATGTATATGTCGCCTATCCTCGTATATAATCATTGACCTAAATCGCGTTAGTCAATAACGCAGTTAATACATATATTTATATATGAAACGAATGGAATAAAGAGAAGCGAAACGATGCCCAGTGGAGATGGCGAGTAAGCCAACCCCATTTAGCCAAGAGTTAATCAATGTTTATGGTCACACAACAATAGGCTACAGACATGTGATGAATAAGATAAAAAGTGTACACACATGTACACGCTCATATAAAAACAGTCAAGGTTGATAGGCGAATAATTAAGAAGGTCAAAATATGACTCAATTAGAGTGAATAGATTGGCATATGGTATATGGTATATGGGCTTAACATAATAACTGACACTACAATAGAACTGTCTCGACGCACATATTGAAGATTATGATTTTGATATTGGTTAGTAAATGTTTGGAGGTCCATATGTTCTTCAATTGTAGGGATGACCATCTTGCTTTGCCAACCCTCGCCCTTACGTCTGCATCGAATCCTCCTTGTTCATCGATGATGCAGACCATATTATGTACTGAAAGTTTACACTTGTTCCAGTGTTTCTCTATCAAGTGTGATTAATTTGGTTGTTGTTTTCTGTGTTGTATTTGAGGATCTTGAGTTTTTCTTTGTATATATTGAGGCCCACTGATTCAGAGGTTGCTGCTAGACTAGTGTCATTTAAAAACTGTAACTTACAAAAGTTATCGTTCACCAACGCACATAATTATTTCATTTACGATTATTCAATATAAACAACAATATAACAACGAAAGAATTATATCAGAAATCATCTGTAACTTATGTTTTAACACATTTGTAATAATAATGCAATGAAAAGCTAAATAACTATCGTTACATTCATTCCATGAAACGTTAACGTTGAAAGAGCTGTTTTTAATTTTTGATCTGTAAAAGTGTCAATCTTATGTACAAGAATATCATCTTGAGAATGTAGAGACTCAATGAGACTAATGGGTATAATGATGTTTTAAAACAAACAAAATAACAGATAACTTATTGAAATATCCAAATGGCAGGAACAGGTAGCTCAGATATTCATACAGGCCGCCTGGAAATACAACCATAATTAATAAATTGAATTCAACAAATATATATGAAATTGAATTTGGAATCGATTTCTAGACTTTCATAAATCTACACTTCTTGAAGTATAAAAAAATTCAAGAAATATCAATATTGAACAAGGTCCACACTGAATATAAGTTGCATTTTAAGCATCAAGACTGAACAATAAGTTTAATCCCTTAATAATATAAATAATCTCTATATTTGAAGAATTGGGTTAAGAAAATCAAGGTAATTTGGGTGAGATTATAATTCGTGGATGACCATTGAGCAACACTAAGACGACCTTGAAAATGTTCACCTACTAACGAGGACTAAATGCGGTTTATAAACCAATTTGAGGAATTTTAATTATGATTTACAGTTTATAATTAAGGTTATGAATTAGATTTGGGGTTTTCATCACGAACTGATATTAGAGAAAATGCCAAAAACGCTATTTAGCCAAATGGATAAGTGAATTTTGCACCAAAATCTGAGACTTGTTATCTTTTACCTGATTGGTTTGTCTATAAATTATAGAACAATTTCTCGATTTTCATAACTTTTCAAAAACGAAAACAGAAAATTGAAATTAAGTAGTTTATTTGAAAGTTGAGGTTATGGCCCTTGAGATTTGACTTTAGTTAGATCGTATGAATGATTGTTATTGAAGTATACATATCATCAATCCTCGTATATAATGAATAACAAAATACGTAAATGAACTTTTGAATACATATATTTTGTACACTCATTGATCTGAACAAAGAGGAACAAAGCGAAACGAACTGATGCACAGTGAAGAATGCATATGAGCCAACTCGATTTCACGAAGCATTAATCAACATTTATAACCGAACAAAAGAATAAGTTACAAACATGTGATGAATAGGATATGAAGTGCACACACACACATACGCTCATATAATAACAATCAGGGTTGATAAGGGAATAATTAACAAGATGATAACATGACTCAAGAAGAATGAATAGATCGGCTTGTCCAGTAGCTAGAATAAGGAATCTAGGCTTAACCTATTAACCAACTGTATCATAGTTTTCATAAAGCTTAAAGTAAGAATCATTCACTTATTAAATATTATGTAATAAACAGTATCGTGTGTACGGCTGCCAAAGAAAACTTTGATTCTTGGTCGATGGTTCTTACCATGCAACAAATCACAAGGGTAAAATCGTGAAGGTTAAACCTGCCTTGAACCCCTCCGGGGGCTACTGCCGGTCCCAAGCCCGGATAAAGGAGGAGGGTTGGGCATGGGGTTAGCGACCCTATCCCGTAGAAAACGAACTCGCTAAAACACGCAAAACAACCAACATCAACTCATCAATAAACAGTATCATTTAGATTAAATTAGCCAAATCTAATACCTTTGGATTATTATAAAATTATGATTAATTAAGTAGTGCAATTATTAATGAATAAAATATTTAAATAAAAACAATTAAAATGTTTATCATAATAATAATAATAATAAACAAATTAAAAATTATTTTTACCATTTGCCAAAATACATATATTACTATTACTATTATTGTTATTAGTAATAGTAGTATTACCATGATTGCTATTATTATTATTATTATTATTGAAATGAATATAGAGGTCATTTATATAATTGAGTTCATTATTATAAATGACCTAGTCAAATAGTTGAATAAAGAATAAAATTTTAGAGAAATTATTCTGAAATGAAATGCAAAAAAAAATTTATTCATTTTTCACTTAGAATCAATGATGCATGAAATGAAAAACAAAATCATAATCATTAATTCACAATTTAATTTTACAATCATTAAACACGATCATCATCATCATCATCATCATCAATGAGAATAAAATGTAGATCAAGTTAAAATATACAAGTGAAACTTGATTTTATTGTACAAGCAAGTGACTATCAAGAGTCAATAGTTAAGTGGATGATCATGTAATGATATTTGAAGGGAATAGAACTAGGTTCGAATCCTGAAGTGAACAATAACTTTGAGATGAAGGTGTATCCAGCTGATGAGTCTTAAAATAGGACGAAATTATGCGTCAAACTAGATTTCATTGCTAGCCATTATCTATCTTTGTTTAAAAAGCCTATGAGTTAAGCCTATATTAAGGCAATCCTCACAGGATGCACATATTCCAATAAGAGACTAATTAATTGTAATTCTAAATAACAATGGGAAGATACAAATTAAACAATACCAAGTGAATTAAAATAGAATTT